CATGGGGCAATGATGGGCTACGAGAAGTTCTTCGTAAAAATGGGCAAGAGGTTGAGGTTGATCAGTAGACGCCATATATTCTTCTCCATTCATCGCCATAAAAGTGAGTGAATGCACATTTAGCCTGCCCTGCGAAGCCTATAGATGTATCAAGTCAGTGTTTTTTGTCCTCCGAAACTACTATGAAACAAATTTGTTCTTCGAAATATAGTGAGTTAATTTGGATGCGAACTTCAATCCACAACCGTGCTCACTACAGGCCATACCAGCGAGCAAAAAGAGTTGAAAGTATTGCTCACGAAACTCACTTTTCCTTCATTTCTATTCCTAAACAATAAGGTAAAGTAAGAGCGTTTTGAGAATGCGGAATTTTGGAATAGAAATCTGAAGGATGAAACCCATTTCATAAAATTTCTTGTATGCCATGAGACCCGGCCGAGTTTCTCCTCAAAAGCTTCGGAAGCTTTCCCAAATATCCTGCAGTTCTTCGGATACGATCTCCATACTGCACCTCTACACCAACAAAGGTTTATTGGAGAACAGAAGAAGACCGAATATAGATGTCACTCAAGAGGAAAAGATGCTTAACATTGCTCATCTTTTCCTGCACAGTTGGTAAGAAGCATTTTTGCAACGACTTCTCAGTTTCCTTGCAAAGTGCGCTGTCAACCACAAATTCACGGCAGTCATTTTACACCGCACAAGAAGAAGTTTGGATGGAGCTCAACAAGTCTGGCATGAACCGCATCATGTGCAAGAGCATGTCGGAAGCACTATCCGTTCCTGTCCTAGGCTTTTTCAGCCTCAATAATTGTTCAACACCACCGAAACCTCGCTGTCCAATCGGTACTTGTCGACAAAATAATGGACTGGCTGTACACACACATCTAAAATGCGAAAATAGAGCTCTTTTATTGTCACCTAAATTTTCGTTATAAATGGGCTCCGAACGAGTGACCTCATCCCTCAAGGAGTTCTTTGGTGTATTGCAATGGATAATGTTGTTGCTTGTCAGGGCAAAGAGGGCATGTACGTTGAAACGTTTCCTTTTTGCAACTGCAATGTTTTCTAGAAGTTTCGTTGAAACAAACACGTTTTTGAATATACGAACAGCGGATCGGAAAAAGACAACGAAAGTGCTTGCGTGTCTTCTACAAAAAAGTATTTTTTGGAAGAAAAAAGGAAAATTGTAGCTGAGCGAAAGGGTAGTCCAATTCCAGTGAAGAGTTGACGGGGAAAAAAATGGCTTTCTCCCAAATATAAAATGCAGTCTGCTTAATACCTCCGTGACGCCGCAATTCTGCAATGGATTCGATGATCGCTTTCTCGATGCGAAGTTTCAGCTGCAGTCTGGAGATGAACTCCTTTCACAGTCCAAGAAAGAAAGACGAGCTATGTAGACGAAAAAATTCTCCAATTCTTTACTAAGATGGCAAGTAGAACAGCGAAAAGTTGACCTCTAACTGCGGCCTAGTCGAAGGAGTTATAAGTTATGATGAAAATGCTTCAATTAATCGCTGAAGAAGTTCATTTCACAGCTACCTTGCTATTGAAGCGTCTTTGAAAAACTGGAGTAAATAGCAACGATTTTTAATCGAAAGGCACCTGATACTAGTAATAAATGAAACTCCCTTTCTGCAGACTAAGTGGGAACGTTCTGGTCCAGCTTTCCCAGGACTTTAGGGTCTATCATCTTAACCAACACTCAACGACATTCAAAACGAAAAGAATAATCCTCAAGCAGGCAAAGACATTTGTAAAAAGTTGGAAGACTTTCATGGATTATGGATGCGAGAAAACGAATGAAATTTGAAAAGGGCTAGGATCCGCACAGTAGATGTGAGAGACGTTTTGTATGAAATAAAAAAAAGCGCCAGATTCAGAAGTTGCTTAGAAGACTTCAACGGCAACGTGAGGAGAAAACACTGGAAACCACTAAAAAGAAGTCCAAAGAAGCACCTCAGGATTACAATGTTCGGCTATCACCAGAGATTAACGAAGATACCATCACTACCAGCTCTCGCAGTAATATTAAATTTTTGACGAAGAAGTTCCAATTCAAGCTTTCCTCCTTCATGGTACTTGTTCCAGGCTTCGAATTTTCAGAAAAACCATGAAATCCCTTAATTTTAAGTCCGAGCTGGTGTCAAAAGAACGAAATGAAAGGGTTCTTAAGAATAGGGCCATTTAACGGACGACGTGTATCAAGATGGAAAGAATGAATTTCTCCTAACATTCCTCCTAACGGTTTAACGCTTCATCGTGGCTGGGAGATGTTCCTGAGTGTCGGGTTGTGATGTACAGCGCGGAGATTTACTTTCCCGCCACGGTCTCCCAAGCTGAGGAGTCCGGTATTTCCACCAGAAAGCTCAGCTAAGAATAAACCAACATGAAGACCAGCCATCGTCCTGGTATCAAAGTCGCATGGTGGCAAATCTCCCTCTGATCCACGAAGACTGCGACTGCATGCGGTGGTAACGACCTAGGGCAGACTTTAGCCAGGCTGACCTCAGGAGTCCAGCGAAACACAGTAGCTAAAGCAGCAAAATTCCGAAAAATGGAGATTATGCCGGGGCCTGAAAAACCAGTGAGGACGAGCCACCCATCTATCCAGATAAGTAAAGTGACAGTTGTAATCAGCTCCCTAATTGCTTGTTGTGTCTGCTGTACACGATCTCCACTTTTTCACGCAACACAAAGTGTAGACTAAGAATAGAGGATGATGTTCAATCTGTTCATTATTACGATTCTGAAGTGTGCATTTCATGCTACAGTAGAAGGCCATGGGAATCAATAGGAATATAAGCTGCGCCTCGAGCTAAAACTTTTTAAACTACAAAAAAGTGTTCCGTAATATGGAAGTAAACGAATTCCGTTCCCTTAACGCTTATATTAGAAGAAGTTGACCTATCGACAGAATCACTAGAGCCCTTTGTTAATGTATCTGCAACACTAAATATTACTCCTAGATCGACCCCTTACCGCACTGATTAAGGGGAAGGATGCAACAAGGTGACCTTAGTTGAGCGAAGGTGTTCATCATTTCAATGGAGCGAACAATAAATTTGCTCGATTGGGACAAAAGGTTTACACGAATTGATGGGAAATTCCTATAAAGCACTCGTTTTGTCGACGACATACCCATCTTTTCACGGTGTTTCACTGACACAAAAGTGATTCTCAAAAACCTCACGGAAAATGAGATAGGACAGCGAATTAGTCAGATAAAAACCCAATTCGTCAAAAAAAAAACCACTGTTCAGTGGAATGCAAATCAAAATGAATGGTTCTTTAAAAACGGAGACTATGTGATTTCTTCAAAAAGGAGATTCAGTGGGTAAGGAAAACGACAAGCGTGAAGATTTATGAAGAAATGCATGGCAGCGTTCAAGCCTTCCATAGAAGCTACGCACCAACAACCGGCCAAAAATTATGCTTTCATTTAGTTGACAAAGCAATGCTCCGTATGCTTTGTGTTGTAGCGCAAGCGTAAGCTCGCAGCTGACCTACGTCGGCAATTCTATGAACTACTCACAGAGTAGCTGCACAATATCTTCCGAATTACAATCTGCAACCACAACATAATTCCGAATATTGATTCAGCGGTTTAAGGATGATTAGAAAGCTTCCTAAATTACAGTGATTCGCTAAAAAATAAGGGTCGAGATAGAAGGTTTTTCATAGCTGATGACAGCAGCTTTAAGACAAGAATTAGAAGAAGTCCTCTCAAAACGATTGATAAGACAGCTTCAAAGTCGGATGATTCAAAATGGCCCTTCTCGGACGACATTACGATAAGGTGGGATCAAGAAGCTTAACAATAGGGCGCCCAGTGATCCCACGGATGACAAAACGCTGCATTGTATAACGATTAGCCATTCACTTCAACAATGACCTTTATCAACATTTCCTTCAAACTTCCAACCAATTATGACATATTATAAAAAACGCTTCCTGTTTTAATGAAAAGAACCTTTTGAATGGTTGACACGTAGAGATTTTCCATAGAATGGTCATACTGTTGTTTTTATTTTATTTTATGTAGCCCGTCTCCACGTCTGCTCTGCGGATCACAGTACTTCCCTCATTCGATTCATTTCCTCGCAACCATTGTCCCCGAAGAACTTCCAACGTTTTACGTGTGGCTTCGGTTGCTGCTTAAGGGTTTCCTTTTCATCTTGAATCTCGTAAATTCGTTTCATGTTCATTCGCATTGGTTATACTGTTATGTCGAAAAAAGCCGGTGTAAGGATGAAATAATGAGACGTTCAGCGTTCACTAATCCCTTTGGGATCTTCAAAAGATTTGAGTTCATTTATCATTGCAAATGGAGACGAATATATGTTTATGTCATAAAACGACTCTCTGGGGCCCTCCAAGTGCCAAATCATCGTTAGTCTGGCTCCACTTTTGCTGGCCTCGGAGTGTTGGGGAACTCATAATAGTTTGCTTGGAGAGCGCGATCATATCAACAAACAGACGTTATTTGTTGTGCGTCATCTCTAGGCATTGTCCTACAGGCAGCTGGTGGAAGCGCCCACGAAATTGCGATAAATTTATCCAACGCCGTACCTTCAGTAGGTTCCTATACTGCTCCCTAACAACACCTGCTAACTCTCCAAATATTGTCATATAAAAGCGGAAATGGTCAAGCTACAGAACACCATCTCACTCTCCAAACTGGAAACTTTTTTTCCCAGTGGTTACTCATCAAAGCATTATTTCAGTGACTTTTCTGTGCAAAGGAACAATTGTTTTTACATCTGCTATGGCGTGCTTCTCGCGGATGACCAACTTTAAATAGTAAGCGGCTAAGCGTAGCAAATGCTTAGCTATTAGCAAGGATACCTCAGCTGCTTCCTCGCCAAGAAAAAAAACTAACGCAGTGATGAAACACTGCCTCAGCTTTAGTTACTCGCTAGCATTACAAGTATTGATGTATCGGAAGAAGAATAGTCGAGATCTCGTACTGGAACCGAGCAAGAAAAAAAGCAACTCACCGAAAATTTCAGCAGCACCCATAGCCATGCTGTACATTGCGATGATATAAATGTCATTGCTGAACGTTGAAGTGAAAGTCAAAGTAGTCGGGTACACTCCCACAACAAATGAGACGATCAGGCCCATATAGCAGAAGAAAGGAAGCAGCAGCATTATGTTCACATTAACGAATGACTTCCCAAATTGCTCTGTAAGTACAGTACTTGGTCAGATAGTCGTTACCACTTTCCCATTTCTTAAAAGAAATTCGTCCATCTTTGGATCGAAAGAAAACATTAAAACTAGATAGCTACTCTAAATAGGTAATCAGTTCAAGCCATCGTTTTGTGAAACCATGGTACACTGATAGACGAATATCTGTAGAAATCGCTCAGGTCTTTCACAAGATGGACTATGGATTGCTTAATGCCACTATCATTTAAGTCATTATAAGAAAAAGTCTGGAAGGTAGAAAGAAACAATTGAACTCGAAATAATTTTAGTGTATTTGTCCCGTTTTAAATTCAATTTTTGTAAGAAGGTAGTTGGAAACCGTGTCTAAGTTGACCTAAAACAATTTAACAATTACCCTTAAAAACTACGAATGTCAACCAGGGACCTTTTTGTGATGACTATGGCTCTAAGCTGTTACGATCGTTTCCTCCTTAGTCCGTTATATTTCTTTTTTGCCTGCCTTCTGTTGTCACCGCCATCTAGAATTCGATGACTTTGATGACCGTAAAAATACCGGAGCATCCTTTCAAACCGCATAGAGGTAAAAAAACGAAGAAATGAGGAAAAGAAGAAAAGGCATCTAACCGAGCGAAAAGGCGAAACATCTGAGCAATGTAAATACGTATGACAAATCCCAAAACCCACTTTCTTTTAAACTCGCCATTTTTCAATAATCACCGTTTTCCTGATGCTGTGATTAAAACCAAGTGTTTTATACGGCAAATCCTTTATCAGTGGCATTATCAACGTATCTGACTGAGTGGGTTGCGTGATTATTTGAATTTTTCAAGCTCTGAAGAAGGTGAAACCGCTAAACTTCAACCATTGCGAATGAATAAATGTTGTAATAACAACCTCGTGTTTGCTCATCAGGAAAACAGTGATGTAGATTGAATCACCATCTCGTAACCGTTCTCTATCGTAGTGATCGCCGTGGTGGACGCTGACAATGCACACAGAGGATGATACTTTTCATTTTAATTACACATCCACTTCTCTCTCTCAAATTTTTGAAGCACTCCACTCAATTTTTCTAATCACCAGTCAGCTAGAATATCATTTCCAAAAAGGTTCAATCAATCTATCTTGTTCAAAAACCTCATGGGTCAGGCTGCAGTGGCTAATGCGTGTGACCTTTATTGCCAATTTCTTCCGTTCTGTTCTATCACTCTTTTTTCAGAACCCGACAACGACGTTAATAGACATTCCACGTTAGACGTTTCGGAAACGCAATCGTCGTTTGACAGGTACGTCACTGTCATCAGCAATAAGTCGAAAGTCCGAAACGCAACTCACGTGTAGAATCTATCGCCAATCATTCCTCTAAGGCTGCATATCGCTATAACCATCTTTAGAGTACTGTAATCCATTACATGCTTCAGAAGGGCAATTTTCAGGAACTTGTAAAAGTGGACAAGCTTGTGTTTCGACTGATGCCTAAACATCGGGAAAGAATTGGAGCGATGAATGGCACATCTCAGAAAATGTATTTATTCTCTGTCAGAATCCGAGGATTGTGATGTTAGCTTCCCAGTTACGAGATCCATGTCCCAGCCACGCAGTATTGTCGAACCTTTCAACATCCTTTCTATTTTCCGTTCGAATCCTATTTGAATGAGCTCAGAGTTTTTCGAACATGCTTGAAAGATTTAATGTAAAAAAATAAAGCGCTTGGAATTGATCAATCCTTGAGAGATATGCCATGCATACGATTCCATTGAGTAACGTAAAGGTGACTAAGTGTATATTCGGTCTATAGCAACCTTGCGGTGGCGTGGCGAGTGTTATTACTTTGGCATTTTTGCCCAGACAAGTCTATGATCAACATTCCGAGCGTGGAAGAATAAAGGACTTGGTTTATGTGGTGCGGGATCGAACAGTCGACCGATTCAATGTTTATGGCACAGCATACATAACCACTGCGCTATAACCGTGTCACTTGAAAGAAATGATCGATTATTTTCCTTTAGATTGTCCAACAAATCGAAACAATAAAGCTAGGGCAGGATGGTATGACTGGATCCTTAAGGATTACAGAAGACCACGTCCGTTAATCGAACTTTCCCAAGTGTGGCACCGTAATTTCACATAATATTGAAGAATTGAAATGCTTATCGATGAGGATAACTTATGAAGTCTAAAAAAATAGCCTGCAACTCTACGAATTCATTAATATTTCATTTAACACAAATCATGCTTATTAAAACTACAAAAGAAGTCTTCCGTAGTAAGGAACTGGTTCTGTACCAATCATTGCACTCCGGTAGTCCTACATTAAAACCAGCAGATTTTTTTGAAATAATACGAAAGAGATTCCGTGTTTGTGAGAGAAAACATGAATTACGTTTCTCCCCGCTTGAAGGTTTTAGTGAAAAAACTCTATCGAACACGTTGAAAACATACTGAAACTATACTTTGTTCAGCACCTTGGAAAGTAGGTTTTAGAGAGTCCAAGTCCAAAGTCGCTCAAAGTTTTTGAGGTTTCATAAATAAAACTCATGAAAGATACTAAGCATATTAGGATAGAAAGTTTCCATAAACTTTTTTCTTCAAATGAGTGAAACTTTTTCAATCCAACCCGAAAAGTGAAGCATTTGTGATGTCATTTACAAAATTATATACCAGCTGGGAATACGGTTTTGAATTCTCAAAAGCAGCAGTAACTTGTGGTCTTGGACTACGTAGGACTACAGACATCATCATACTTTTGCCTTTGGGTACTGCAAATTTTTGCGGACGAGCACCTAGAACAGTTCCTAGTATTTCTAAAACCGGGCAGGATCTTCGACATTCAAACTCACTTAGCTGTTGTTTGAAATTCGGAAGAACCGTCGGTGAATTCGATGCGATACTGTCGTACTGTTTAGTTGGAAGTAATGCAAAGATCACGACAGAGATCACGTTTAGTATGAAGAATACGCCATAAATCAGTTGAATTTGTGGGTCCGTAAAAGTGCGGGTGGCTTCTTCGTTGGCGGAAGTATTCTTAAAATATTTTTTCACTAAGAAAAAACTGTTAGACGATAAATTTTCGAGTGAATTACAACATACCGTTGAGGTGAAATAGAAAGTGGCCATCAGCGCCACACCTCCAGCAAATATACTGAAAACTGAACTTTTATTTTCTGCCTATTCTCTTTTATGGCAGGATGCAGTATAAAATACAACCACAGCGATGCTGGGATATGAGCAAAAGTGTGAACCTCAGATGGACTTTGATTTCGGGATTATGCTTAATGGAGCTCGCGTTTTACCAATCACAACAACGGAGACCCATGTTTTGTTTTCCTCTCACCACGTCTTTGCTCCACCACTGGTATCAGTAATCATCTATCAACGAGAATGATCTGAGAAGCAAAAATCCAGGTTGAAGACAGTTAAGCTGGGGCTACAATCGAATGCACAATGTCTTAACCTTTATTCAGTGCCGAATCTTCTTTTATGACAGAGTATTTTGTGGAATTCAATAACAGGGATGCTGAGACATGATAAAAAGTCGAAGCCTCAGTTGGGCTTCGAACCCACGATCACCCTTACCAGGGGCACACATTTTCCTCATATCGCTGCATCCTTGTAGTGCTTGAGATTTGTTGGTAGTAGAATGTTCAACGATGAGAAAATACAATGACTGAGTTAAGTAGTTGTAGCAACTCCCACAACCAACATTCTATCAAGTGATTGCACTTTATGTCTAGAGAGCAATGGATCCCGAGTAGTATATTTTGTTGTGGTGATGCATGGAAAGTCTACAGAATTTGAAGTTTGAATATTTTTCTGAACACTTCTTCCCGAGCTTCGCCCACAATGAACTCCCGATTGTTTTAAAATTTCACTATATCTTTAGTTATGTATTTGAAACGGAACCGACACCAAACGATAATCTGTCCTACCTACTGTGACCAACGGCTGTTTCGATGCCCGTGTTTGATTCTAGTGTCCGTCTCGACGAATGCTCAGACAGATAGGCGCCTTCACCGTTGTTATAAACTATAAAGAAAGTGCCATTGCGGAGTTGCTGTGCTGCTTTATTTGGTCAATTTCCACCAAATGTCATTTTTCTCCTCCCAAATAACGATAACAGTAATTGCGTTATCAACTATTCTACCATTTTGTATCACCGATATCACCTATAGTCCGTGAAATTATCGACTGACTCAAATGGACATTAGTGATGGAACCACTTAAAGAGCTATGTTGTTAGCTCCGCTTTGTCAATGACCTCGAAGGGTGACAAACTTTCTAATGCTTTTATTTCTACTGTTTTCGACCACAAAGCAGCTAGAAATAAATCGTCTAACACACAGCGTCAATCATGTCTACCCTTCTGGATGGAATTTTTGAAGTTCGTAACATATGTGACACATCTAGGAAGATCATGCCTGTAATTCACAGTTCGACACCCATAGCTTCGCTAAAGTATTAAACCATTCGAAGTACTTCGCTATTAGTGATTTGCTTTCTAGCACTTTAAACGAACTCGAACTAGAAATCCTGTAAAGTTACTTTATAATAGGTTCCCTCAAAGTTATCTTTTGTGAAGTATAAGGAAGAGACACTAACAAATAATGAGCCATTGAGTGAGGATGACAGAACGAAGGTGCTAGTCTAGTACTATATAAAGAAGTACATGCTTAAGAGGCTGTTCTTTCAACATATCAGTAGGAGAGAAAAAGCAGTTTCTTAAAAATCCTGAGAATGACCCCACACCATTTGTATAGCAACTCTCTGGACCAATCTGCTTCAAGACATCACAAATTTTTACCTCAAGGCACAACTTACATGAATATCCAACTCCCATTAATGCTTGTGATAGATAGAAGTAGACATTGTTCAAATGTATGAATCCCAAATAGTAGACGGCGAAAAAAACACTAGCAATCATAAGAATCCACTTCGATGCCACATAGTGCTGAATCGAAGGTGTCATCACAGACGAGATTGCGAACGCTGAGTAGTGGAAGGCTTGTCTAAAACACAAGCTGCTTCATAAGAAATACAAGAATCAGCACTATTATAAGAAATGGATGAACATCTACAGCGTGTAATCCCCGAACATCATGTGGATCATAATTTTGACAATACAAGCGAACCAGTAGGTTCAGAAGTTCCCACGATAAATAACGCACCCTTAACAGTTTAGTGCTTAAGACATGAGGAACTACGCCTAGCTTTGTGTAATGGTCACTTGGAGACACGAATTATTTCCTGCCGAGAATGTACGTTGGAAAATTCGTGAGAAAGAGATTTTTTGTAAATGACTGGGTGTAGAAGCCTTTAACAGCCTTTAACAAAAACGCCTTGAACGATGGTTACGTTGTATAAGTGGACCACTGAATATAAAAAATATATCAAAGTGTCTCACTGCATCAAATCGAGTCAGATTACGCATTGATATAAATGAACATAGCTGCTTCTATGTTAATGATGATGAGGTGCTACGTCGTGTTTCTACAAAGTGGTAAACGACTCAAAGCTGGAATATCCAAGAAGACGGAAAAGAAACTAAGTTCAAACCCGAAACTTCAGTTTCGTCAAGAATATCGGTATTCGGCGTAATATGATCTCCACACTCACCCGTAATATCCAGCGAGCGGTGATATGACTCCTGGACGACGTACGCTCACAGCATGAATAACTGATTCAGCTATAAAGAGCTGCGTGATGTAACCCAAATACATGAATAGTGTGCCGACACCAAGCATGTAGACCGAAAGCAGCTCGTGTCGCCGTGGACTGAGTTGCATTCTTGCGGCTGCGAAATACGATATAATAGTTTCAATGGAAGCTGTGGACATTTTTTGTGCATCGAAGAGGTAGAAATCACAGAAGAGTTTAATCAGTTCTCCAAGAATTATGAAGAAAAAAAAGTTATCGATGTGAAAGTTTTTGGTGCTGATCTTCAATCTCATGAAGAACTCATAGTTCCTTGAGAGCACTAAACTCCCGTGCCATGAACTCTTCACCTGAGTAAGTAGCTCTGTCCTCTTGGAGTAGGAAGAACGGTAAAATTCCTCATAAACTAGTTTCCACAAAGGATTTAAAAGCAGAAAAAAGTTTCGAATGGAACTAGTGAGATCACATCCAAGGCGTAAGTAACAAACTTATGACGAAATTGATGAATTCTCCCTACGTTTATCTTCTAGAAGGAAATTACTGCTCTGAAAATCATTTTCAAAACCGAAGCAATAACAAAAATAAGAGGTGCCGACATTTTGTAGGGTGAAGCCGAGAACTGGGAGGTCGGGGCGGGCAACACCGAAAATAAGTGATGAATTGGGTTTTATGATCGTGAAAGAAGAGGAACAGGTATGTGTTCGCTGCATCGAACGACATTCTCATCATCAGGAGAAATCATTCTTGGAAGACCGCAAATTTGATAAGATAAGGGAAGGAGGATTAAATAATCATTGCACGTACTTGAAATTTGGGTCAATTAATCCAGAACGGCCGGCCAAAAGCAATGGGTGCAATATATGCATGGGTGTATTTTGGATGGATTGCATTCCATCCAATGCATTTCTTTTCAACAGTTTGTTTTGTTGAACGTACTTTTCTTGGCTTAAATCTAGACCTTGTCCAACTCAAAGGTTACAGCAGGTGTGGTCTATGAGGAGCTGTTTTCCCAACCTAATAATTTACAAAAGAAAACTTTTTATTGAAATTAATCCGTTGCACCAAAACTTGATCGGCAATTGAATGTCACCGCATTCCAATCCTTATGATGAATCATGTTTACCGCATGGAATGGTTGGGTAAAAAATTTCCGAGATGGACTCAGTATAAGCTGCCAAACTGGGGCGGATAGCAGAGTGATAATGATGTCCGTCATCACGAGCATAGGGCCAGTTCGATTCCGCTCCGGGCAAACCAAGCCTCTCATCCCTCCAGGGTCGGGGAATTGGTAGCGGACTTGTCTGGCAAAAAAATCACTACGGCTATCTCAGGAATGCAGACAGAATTGCTCGATCAGCATCCTACGACATTCAAGATAAAATGGAGATCCTCAAGCAGCAACCGACGTCACACGTAAAAGCTGAAAAATCTTCGTGAACAATGGACGCGAGGAAACGAATTGAATGTGAGAACTACTGGGATTCGCACAGTAGAGGTGAAGACGGGTCAAATGAAATAAAATAGAAATAAAAGAAACAAGCTGCTAAACAGTTCCGTATTTTGAGAAAAGTGTCAGATTACAATTATTCACTTGTAAACTCGAGGTACGTTTGCCGTGTGTCAAATCATTTTTCAAAATGCATTCTATTTGAAGATGTTACTGAGAATCATATCTAGATTCTATCAGTGGCATCTAATAATGGCTTAGGATATTCCTCGATGTAGAACTACGATGTCAAACGACGTTTTTTCTTAAACAAATGAAACAAACTTAAAGGTCTTTCCTAACAAGAAAGGACAGCCATATAACATCGAATGGAAAATAGTGTTCTTTTAACAGTTGTCGTCTCATACACCCACTCCTGAAGAACTTTGTACATTCCCATGACCGACTTTCTGTTAACCTCGGCATTAATTGATAATTCAATGTTTTTCATCAATAAGCAGACACGAGGTTGTTAATATAGAATTTATTAGAACACAATTGCTGACGTTTCGGCGGTTTCGCCTTCTTCAGAGCCTGGAAAGGTCAAATTGAGATGCGATCTACTCAGCCAAACACTTTCATAACCCTAGCAGATAAAACTGCATATCTAAGCTTGGCACGAAATATGAAATCCATTCACATGAAAATGAGGATGAAGGCCACGTGACCAACAATTTCACGTGATACCACGACGAAAGAGAGCAACCGACGACACACTACAAGGCCGACTTAGAAATGCCAGTTCTTTTTTTACATGATCCGTCTTCACGCGTCTTTTGTAGATCTTAGCGCTTTGTACACTCGATTCATTTCCTCGAATTCCGTCATCCACCAAGGCATTCGGGTTGTTGTGTAGGTTCAGCTGCTGCTTGAGGATATTTTTCTTTATCCCTTTCGCAACAAATGTGGTTTTTCGATAACTGCGATAATTTCTCGATGAGCATGTACTTCAATAGAGTGCAGAGCTTAAAAGAATGAAATGTTCAGCATCAAAACATTTTGAAATTTGGTGGCGAAGTTTAAGCTTGCCACAGAACAGCAGCAACTGCAGCCATAAACACTACATTGCGGAACAGAATGGCGTTCTGCTGGATGAAGTTCCTCTTATTTGCTTCGCGGTTAGAAAAATAAGCCATGAAGCGATAACGTGGAAGAAATTTACGTCATTGGTTCCAGAAAATAAGAATTTCATTGTGGTAAAAAAAAAGGCGAATTTAATTCTGCAGGCAAAGAAATGTATACTTTTCTGATTTTCATTTCAAATACTAAAATTGCCAATGATCTGAACTATATTAATTTGAAGTTAGATCCCTTCAGGATTTTTGTCTCGTATGACTCCTGCAGAGATTACCATAACTCGTAAATGTTAAATGCTGGTCGATTCGGTTATCCCTGGAATACCAAAGTGACCACGCAAGGATGCTCTTATGTGGATTAATGGACTCAAATGTGGAGAATAAGTGATCAATTCCGAGACAGGTCAGTACCAATGTGGTACCATCATATTTTTTGGGTGCGCACTTCGTCATCGTGTTACACATTCGTTATATCCGTAGAGGCTGATTTATCCAATTTTGAGGCATACGAGGTGGATTCGCGCAATGTATAAAGATTTCTCTGCACAGAAAAGCAAATACAGGTAGTAACAAGCCTGTTATTGCAAAACAACTCACTCGAACAATTGGCTCAATGTTTAGCGCACTTTTTCGGAATCCGACGTCATAGGTTAACCTGACAACTACATGTTTCACGGCAAGTCGACGTTATAGTTCGATCCTATGAGTCGCCTCTGTAACATAACGAATTTTTAGAGAAATATGTACTATTCTAGAACTCTTAAATGGCGAATGCGAAATCATATACATGCTAATTACACTCTGGTATTCCGTTACAGAAAACACGTCAACTTCCTGTTGAATAGAGCAACGCCGAGGCACACCTAGTAAATCCTAGTCACTAACTGCTTCCAAAAACGGCTAGTTCATAAAAAGCTCCCACATATGGAGCGAGGTGAGTACAAAGTTAACCTAAGAAAACTGCTCCATTATTGATAAGAAACTCTGCCTATCAAATATAGAAATTTTTGTCCTCTTAAATAACGAAATCGCTAGAGAACCATTTGGCAAGATACGCAATCGTCTCAAAAGCGCTCATCAAAGAACACATGGCTATTTCCGCCAGCCGATGCTCTCACAGCTCTACAACTGTGGCATAAAAATACTGTAGTTTGATGGATCCAACTTGTCAATACCTACTGGAAATATTTAAATGTTTAAAGCAAATTTCATTTTATGTAGCAAATTTTAGGATCGATTTTCTGTTAATTTCAGCAGTGAACAACAGTTCACTCTTTTCTTGATGAGCACGCTCCAGGTTGTTATTGCACCATTTATTCATAGTAGTCGTCGTTTTGGCCGCTTCGCCTTCCTCTTCTTCATTGTGAAGCATGTTGATGCGAATAAATAGGGAAAACGTATAGACCACCGTGCATCTGTATAGAGCAGCATCTGTTGGGGAAACGTGAAAATAAACGAAACACTACTACGCACTCATAGGGCAGAAAGTCACAAAGAAGATTTTGAAGTAAAAGCTACTATCCTCGCACAGCAATTTAGAACATCTGCGTGCAGAATTCTTGAAGCGTTTTTACCCTTAATTACTTAGATACGCGGACGGCTCATCCTCACAGGTTATGCGGACCAGAGCACTTTCTTCATTTTTCGGAGCTTTGCTAGTCTAGCCTCTATGTTTCCCTTGTGTTCCGAGGTCAACCTGGTTGAAGTCTGCCCAAGACCGTCACCACCACAGGCAGTCGCTGCCCTTGTGGATCAGGGGTTGATTTTCCACCGTGCGACTATGATACCATGACGGTGGTGGATCCGGGTATTGGTTTACTCTTAGCTAGGCTTATTGATGGAAACGCCGGACTCCTTCCCAGCTTGGGAGATCCTGCCCGGGGATGAATCCCCTCGCTATATATCCCCAGGCGACACTAAGGAACACCTTCTTAGCCACGATGAGGCGGTAAACCGTTGGGAGGTTTGAACCTTACACATGAAAGAACGTGGTATGCGCCAGGTTAGAAAGCTCATAAATTCAAAACCTATGCAATTATCTATTGGAAATAAAGGTGGAGAATTTGTTGTCATTACTTCTATCTGCATGTTAGAATAACAGAGAAACATCTCCACTGTTTCTCTCTACTGACCATCCTCTGAAAAGGAGTATAGAAATCAACACTGAAAATCAAATGGGTGTAGGTAAACATGAGAAAGGCGGCTAATTTAGAGCCCTTAGTTATTTTTCAGCTCAAAAACGACCATCCCACTTATCCTGACCTATAGCTGCTTATTATAACACATAAGCCCGCCTCTGGTGATGATCTCGCCTTCACCGTTCAGTCATCACTTAAGTTTAGACCTATCATCACTTGTATCTGGGGGCAACGGAGAAAATAACATGGACGTGCGGTCCAGAGTTTTGCAAATATTTCAGCATAATTATGGCTGTATTTCACATTTCCCTGTCCTGAAAAATTGGAGTGGGCAGGAAAGGGAAAGTTAACATCGTGGCTTCAACTACAGCCTCAGATTAACTGGGTTCAATGTACGATTTGTTCTCCTCAGACCAATCCCGTTGACGAGTGGTTGCTGATGGCAGTGGTAGATAGAAAACTAGCTGAGAGAGAGGTGAAAT